CTGACCAAATGTCAGAAGTTATTAGGTATGTGCAAATGGAGGATGGAAGAGTTCAAGTGAAGGAAGTTTTTCTTGTTTTTTTTCCTTTGAAGGGCAAAAAAAGTTGCTGATATCAGTTCTGATATCCTGAAAAAGCTGGAAAGTGATGGACTGGACTTCATGCTGTGCCGTGCTCAGGGATACGACAATGCTGCCACCATGGCTGGGGTCCATGGAGGTGTACAAGCCATTCTTAAAGAAAAGAACATGAAGGCAATTTTCAGTGGTTGTGTGAACCATTCACTGAACTTGTGTGGTCAGCATTCTTTTGCCGAGAATTCATCATGTGTAAAATTTTTTGGCAGTCTTGAGTCAGCGTATACAGTGGACCCCCACATACCGTTGGCATCACATAACGTTAAATCCGCATACCGATACATTTTATGGCTAAGATTTTGCCTCGCATACCGCTAAAAAACCCGCTCAACGCTATTCGTCCGAGACGCGTTTAATGTGCGGCCTGAGCCAGCCTCACATGTTCCGCCAGTGGCATTGTTTACCAGCCAGCCTCCGCGGTAACATCCAAGCATACAATCTGAACATTTCGTATTATTACAGTGTTTTTGGTGATTTTTATCTGCAAAATAAGTGACCATGGGCCCCAAGAAAGCTTCTAGTGCCAACCCTACAGGAATAAGGGTGAGAATTACTATAGAGATGAAGAAAGAGATCATTGATAAGTATGAAAGTGGAGTGCGTGTCTCCGAGCTGGCCAGGTTGTATAATAAACCCCAATCAACCATCGCTACTATTGTGTCCAAGAAAACGGCAATCAAGGAAGCTGTTCTTGCCAAAGGTTCAACTGTGTTTTCGAAACAGAGATTGCGAGTGATAGAAGATGTTGAGAGTCTCTTATTGGTGTGGATAAATGAAAAACAGATAGCAGGAGATAGCATCTCTCAAGTGATCATAAGTGAAAAGGCTAGGAATTTGCACGAGATTTAATTAAAAAAATGCCTGCAACTAGTGATGATGTGAGTGAATTTAAGGCCAGCAAAGGTTGGTTTGAGAGATTTAAGAAGCGTAGTGGCATACATAGTGTGATAAGGCATGGTGAGGCTGCCAGTTCGGACCACAAAGCAGCTGAAAAATATGTGCAGGAATTCAAGGAGTACATAGACAGTGAAGGACTGAAACCTGAACAAGTGTTTAATTATGATGAAACAGGCCTGTTTTGAAAGAAAATGCCAAGCAGGACCTACATTACTCAGGAGGAAAAGGCACTCCCAGGACATAAGCCTATGAATGACAGGCTTACTCTTCTCATGTGTTCCAATGCTAGTGGTGATTGCAAAGTGAAGCCTTTATTAGTGTATCACTCTGAAACTCCCAGAGCGTTCAGGCAAAAGAATATCCTCAAGGCTAATTTGTGTGTGCTGTGGAGGGCAAACAGTAAGGCATGGGTCACTAGGGACTTTTTCTATGACTGGTTACACCAAGCATTTGCCACCAATGTGAAAAATTACCTAACTGAAAAGAAATTAGACCTTAAGTGCCTCCTGGTGTTAGACAATGCCCCTGGTCATCCTACAGACTTGGCAGAGCGACTTTGTGGGGACATGAGCTTCATTAAGGTGAAGTTTTTGCCTCCTAATACCACTCCTCTCCTGCAGCCCATGGACCAGCAGGTTATTGCAAACTTCAAAAAACTGAACACAAAAGCTCTGTTTGAAAGGTGCTTTGTAGTGACCTCAGAAACTCAATTGACTCTAAGAGAGTTTTGGAGAGATCACTTTAATATCCTCAATTGTGTAAACCTTATAGGAAAGGCTTGGGAGGGAGTGACTAAGAGGACCTTGAACTCTGCTTGGAAGAAACTGTGGCCAGAATGTGTAGACCAAAGGGATTTTGATGGGTTTGAGGCTAACCCTGAGAATCCTATGCCAGCTGAGGAATCCATTGTGGCATTGGGAAAGTCCTTGGGGTTGGAGGTTAGTGGGGATGATGTGAAAGAGTTGGTGGAGGAGGACAATGAAGAACTAACCACTGATGAGCTAACAAACCATACCCCCGGCCGGGATTGAACCCGCGGTCATCGAGTCTCAAAACTCCAGCCCGTCGCGTTAGCCACTAGACCAGCTAGCCACAATAAGATTCATCCAACTAGGTATATTTCTACACCATAGGAAGGTTAGCACAGGCACCTCTGTGACTAACGTGACGGGCTGGAGTTTTGAGACTCGATGACCGCGGGTTCAATCCCGGCCGGGGGTATGGTTTGTTTGCAATCGTGTCATTACGATTTCTTGAGTCACTGATGAGCTGCTAGATCATCTTCATCAGCATGAGGCCACACCTGAGGAAACTGCTTCGGAGGAGGGGAGAGAGAAATTGAAGAAGCTGCCTACTTCAAAGATTAAGGAAATGTGTGCAATGTGGCTTAAAGTGCAAACCTTTTTTGATGACAATCACCCTGCAGCCAGCAGCAACAGCCTGGTTGATCAGGCTCTGATCCACCAGGAGGCCTGGTCACAGACCGGGCCGCGGGGGCGTTGACCCCCGGAACTCTCTCCAGGTAAACTCCAGGTAACACAGCTATTGCAAGCCGTGCTGGTGACTATTACACTGACAATGTTGTGAACCACTTTAGGAAAGTCATAAAGGAACGGGAGGTACAGGCCTCTATGGACAGATATGTTGTGCGACAGAAGTCCAGTGACTCTGAAGCTGGTCCTAGTGGCATTAAAAGAAGAAGGGAAGTAACCCCGGAAAAGGACTTGACACCTCAAGTCTTAATGGAAGGGGATTCCCCTTCTAAACACTAAGACTCTCTCCTCCTCCCATCCCATCAATCATCACCAGATCTTCAATAAAGGTGTCATGTAACTGTGCATGTCTTTTTCAGTTTGTGTGTATTAAAATTAATATTTCATGTGGTAAAAATTTTTTTTTTCATACTCTGGGGTGTCTTGCACAGATTAATTTGACTTCCATTATTTCTTATGGGGAAAATTCATTCGCATAACGATAATTTCGCATAACAATGAGCTCTCAGGAACGGATTAATATCATTATGCGGGGGTCCACTGTACATTCTTTGCCTCCTCCACCCATGAATGGGATGTATTAATGGACCATACTGCAGTCTCTTTGAAAAGATTATCAACAACAAGGTGGAGTTCTCATTGCAATGCAGTGACACCAGTAGCAGAATCTTTCGAGAAATTTGTGGCAGCGATTGAAGCTCTTTGCAATCCACAGGAAAATTTGGATACAAGAAGAGCAGCATAAGGTCTTCTCCCTGCTGTATGCGATTTCACATTTCTGTGTTATCTGTATTTCTGGTGTGACATACTTCGGGAGGTTCAGCTTGCACAGCAGTACTTGCAGACTAAGGATATAACTCTTGACAAAGTGGTGGTGAAGCTAGAGGCACTGCGATTATTTTTGAATGAAGGGCAAGATCGCATAGTGGAAAATTCAATACAACATGCACTTTTGAAATGTGAGAAGTATGGATTTCCAACAGAGAGAAGAATCAGGTTAAAGAAAAGGATGACAGGGGAGCAGGCATGGGATTCCAGACTCACTCTACTGGAAGAAAACAATAGGGCGATGTTGGAGTGCATTGATTGTTTTCATAATGAACTCGAGATGCGATCAAAAGCAATCAAGGATGTGGCAGCCATGTTTGTGGTCATTCAAAGAAAAGAATCTTGTACAAGCTACTGAAGAAGAATTGGAGGTGATGGCTTCAAGACTCTCAGTCTTCTATAATGAAACATGCAAGAACGAGCTCATGCTTGAAATACCAAGACTAAGGAGGCACCTGCAAGCTGCTGTTGTTGATCTTGAAAAAATTAAGCACTGGACTGCACTGGATGTACTAACATTCATAGTTCAATGGGATTTCATTGAATCTCTTCCAACTCTGACACTCTGCCTGAGGTTGTTCCTTACTATGTGTGTTTCTGTGGCTTCTTGTGAAAGGAGTTTCTCCAAGTTGAAGCTGATTAAAAACTATTTACGGTCCACAATGAGTCGATCCAGAATCTCTGACATAGCAATGTTATCCATAGAAAATGGGTCAGTTGACAGCATTGATTTTGATGAGGTGATAGATGATTTTGCAGGATTGAAGGCAAGGAAATGTATTATCTGATTCACTGAAATGTTACCTGTACTCAAGGTCAGATCGGAACTAGCGTTTCTCTGATACTGCAATGTTTTTCTCTATTTTTCAAGTTTCTTTTCTTTTGGCATTGTTGAAGAATAATAAATGTAGGATGTGTTAGCTGTACTCAAAGTGATATTTGAGCTTATGTTTCCTCAATATTACTACGATTATTTATTTTATCATTAATAAAGTTGAGAAGTATTCTCCTGTTCAGTTTATGGCCCTTAAACTGTTCTCATTGTTAAACATTTGTCACTGGTCATGCAGTAGTGACGTAACTGAGTTTACTCCCCCCATCCCCCCGCCCTAGGATTTCATAGGGGTGACACCAAAGATGCCGCCCTGGGTGACACCAACCCTAGCAACGCCTCTGTTGTTAGATAGGAGCGAATGGAGACGAATGGGTTTTGGGACCTGACGAGCTGTTGGAGCATGAGCAGGGTAATATTATGTGAAAGGAATTCAGGGAGACCAGATAGCCGGACTTGAGTCCTGGAAATGGGAAGTACAATGCCTGCACTTTAAAGGAGGGGTTTGGGATATTGGCAGCTTGGAGGGACTTCTAAATTGTCTTATCTGAATGCCTCTGCAAAGACACTGATTATGTATGAGTGAGGTGAAAGTGTTGAATAATGATAAAAGTATTTTTCTTTTTTGGGCATTTTTTTTTCTTTCTTTTTGGGTCACCCTGCCTCACTGGGAGATGACTAACATGTTGAATAAAAAAAAAAAAAGAAAATGTAAAATGTCTGCAAAAAATAATAACAAGGGAATCCAATGACTCCATTGTCATGTCACATACTTTACTATTAATGTAAATGTTAATCAAAACGAACATACTTACCGGGCACATTTCTATGTCATTGTGTATTTCAAATAATTTGAATTTAGCTTCAGTCTTTCTTTTATCATCATTGATGAAGGTCATCACAGATTTTATCTTGTCTAGAGCTTGTTCCAAAGCTGCATGATCCGGAGTGGTTTTTTCAGTGTGCTTCAAAATGTCTGTTGGGAAAAAAATGCAAGTTATAAACTTTAATATGACAAAGAGAATGAAGTTAATTTAATCTAGATTCAATTAATTTCTTGTTTAACAAATAATAATAATAATAATGCAGCATTTGTCTGCTTACCAACCTAACTTAAATAACTTGAGAATAACAGTTACATCAAGGCTCATCAAGTAAATAATTTATTCCTTTAACAGTGATTAAAGCAGGGTGAAATTTGTGTGTAAACTTAGTTGATTTTAGTGGGAAATAGGGAATAGGGCCACATGAATGTTAGAAATGAGGGCCTGACTGGTCTTGACACTAATGATTAGCATGGAAGACTTTTCAGAAATACAGCCGAGATCTCTTTATAGTATTTGGATTAAACTTTAACATTAACACATCAGCCGTTTCCCACCAAGGCAGGGTGGCCCGAAAAAGAAAAACTTTCATCATCATTCACTCCATCACTGTCTTGCCAGAGGCATGCTTACACTACAGTTATAAAACTGCAACATCACCACCCCTCCTTTAGAGTGCCGGCACTGTACTTCCCATCTCCAGGAATCAAGTCCAGCCTGCCGGATTTCCTGAATCCCTTCATGAATGTTATCTTGCTTACACTCCAACAGCACATCAAGTCCTAAAAACCATTTGTCTCCATTCACTCCTATCTAACACGCTCACACTTGCTGAAAGTCCAAGCCCCTCACACACAAACCCTCCTTTATCCCCTCCCTCCAACCTTTCCTTAGGCCGACCCCTACCCCACCTTCCCTCCACTACAGATTTATACACTCTCAAAGTCATTCTATTTAGTTCCATCCTCTCTACATGTCCAAACCATCTCAATAACCCCTCCTCAGCCCTCTGGATAATAGTTTCAGTAATCCCACACCTCCTCCTAATCTCCAAACTACGGATTCTCTGCATTATATTCACACTACACATTGCCCTCAAACATGACATCCCTACTGCCTCCAGCCTTCTCCTTGTTGCAACATTCACAACCCATGCCTCACACCTATACAAGAGCACTGGTATAATTATACTCTCATACATTCTCCTCTTTGCTTTCATGGATAGTTCTTTCTCTCCACAGACTCCTCAGTGCACCACTCACCTTTTTCCCCTCGTCAATTCTATGATTCATCTCATCCTTCATAGACCCATCTGCTGACACATCCACTCCCAAATATCTGAACACATTCGCCTCCTCCATACTCTCTCCCTCCAATCTGATATCCAATATTTCGTTACCTACTTTTTTTATCCTCATTACCTTACTCTTTCCTATACTCACTTTTAATTTCCTTCTTTTACATACCCTACCAAGCTCATCAACCAACCTCTGCAACTTCTCTTCAGAATCTCCCAAAAGCACAGTGTCATCAGCACCTCTTCAGATTCAGATTCATTTATTTCTTTGCAAGTAGTACATTGAGATTATACTTTAACAATAATGGGTTGCAGTGCAAAGAGAGGCTCTATTATGCCTTGGCATTATGGGCTGATTTAATTCAATGGCTTACTGACTACTTATCACTGAAGAAATTATCAAAGTTGTACAGTAGTTCTATTAATAAAAGTGAATCTAATTTACACAAACAAAAGGATATATTCATGTATTCAAAAATGCTTTTTATGAAACATGATTCAGTAGTAGTTTTCAGTAGGTTACAGTATGAGGGTAAGACTGGTTTTGGTAGATATGTATACTTCTATGTGGTAATTTGTCAATATATGAGCTTGGTTGTCTAGTCATGAAGTTTTAAGATTTAGGTAATTGGTAGATTTATTGGTAGTGTTTGATATTGAGTATTGAGTATTTAGTCTAGGGTGATTAGGTGGCTTTTGAGAAGAGTCTTAAATTGATTTTCAGACTGAGTTACTTTGGTATTTTCTGGTACTGAATTCCAAATTTTGGGGCCCTTTATGTGCAGAGTTTTTACACAGTGTGATATGGACACAGGGTACATCAAAAAGAGATCTGTGTCTTGTGTTATGGTCGTGTGTCCTGTTAAGATTGGTGAGAAAAAGTTTGAGTGGAGGGTTTATGTTTGTGTGTATTGTTCTATGTATGTAGCAGGCACATGAATAAGTATGGATGTTCTTAATGGTGAACAGATTTAGACTTTTGAATATTGATGGAATATGCTGTTGGGAGTGGGAATTTGTTATCATTTTGACTGCTGCCTTTTGCTGAGTTATTAGTGGTCTTAGGTGATTTAATGTTGTTGATCCCCATGCACAAATTCCATATGTGAGATAAGAGTAGATGAGTGAATGATACAGTGCAAGGAGAGCCAATTGTGGAACATAGTATTGTATCTTTAATAGTATGCCTACAGTCTTAGAGATTTTCTTGGTTATCTGTTGTATATGTGTCTGGAACTTGAGGTAACTGTCAAGGTGGATTTCTAGGAATTTTCCCTCCATGAGTCTTGTGACTGGTGATCCGTTTAGTGCTATGTTAAGTGGAACATTTGCAGCTTTGTTTCCAAACTGAATGAAGTAGGTTTTGTCAGTATTTAGTGTAAGTTAATTAGTCATCATCTAGGCAGATATTTTCTGTAATTCGGCATTGACTGTGTTGGCAAGTATGACTGGGTTTGGGTGAGAGAAGATGTATGTAGTGTCATCTGCAAATAACACGGGTTTGAGAAGCTGTGATGCATTCGGTGGGTTGTTGATGTAGATGAGAAAGAGGAGTGGTCCAAGGATGCTTCCCTGTGGGACTCCGACTGTGATTGGTTGTGTGGAAGAGTTTGCAACATGTGTGTGCACATATTGGCTTCTGTTGCTAAGGTATGACTTTAGGTAGTTGAGGGAGTGGCCTCCTATACCAGTGTGTTAATTTAGTGTACAGCAGTTCATGTTCGACTGTATCAAAAGCTTCATGTAAATCAATGAAGATTCCCAGAGGGACTTCTTTCTTTTCGAGAGCAGTATATATTACTTCTAGCATGTGTATGATAGCGTCATTTGTGCTTTTATTTTTCCTGAATCCAAACTGACAGGGTTTTAGTATGTTATGTGAGACAAGGTAGGAATAGATCTGTCTATGAATTAATTTTTCAAAGATTTTAGAGAGGAGTGGTAAGTTAGATGTTGGTCTATAGTTATTCAAGTCTTGCCAACACCCGAGCATTCACTTCTCTTACAACTCCATCTATAAATATATTGAACAACCACGGTGACATCACACATCCCTGTCTAAGGCCTACTTTTACTGGGAAATAATCTCCCTCTCGCCTACATACTCTAACCTGAGCCTCACTAACCTCGTAAAAACTTTTCATCTCTTTCCATAACCTACCTCCTATTCCATAAATTTGCAAAATCTGCCACATTGCTCCCCTATCCACCCTATCATATGCCTTTTCCAAATCCATAAGTGCCACAAAAACCTTTTTACGCTTATCTAAATACTGTTCACCTATATGTTTCATTGCAAACACTTGGTCTACACACCCCCTACCTTTCCTAAAGCCTCCTTGTTCATCTGCTATCCTGCTCTCCGTCTTATTCATAATTCTTTCAATAACAACTTTACTATACACTTTACCAGGTATACTCAACAGACCTATTCCCCTATAATTTTTACACTCTCTTTTGTCCCCTTTGTCTTTATACAAAGGAACTATGCATGCTCTCTGCCAATCCCTAGGTACCTTACCCTCTTCCATACATTTATTAAATAAAAACACTAACCCCTCCAAAACTATATCCCCACCTGCTTTTAATATTTCTGTTTTTATCTCATCAATCCCAGCTGCTTTACCCTCTTTCATTCTACTCACTGCCCTATGCACCTCCTCCACACTCACAACTGGTTCTTCCTCAGTCCTATAAGATGTTATTCCTCCTTGCCCTATAAACAAAATCACAGCTTCCCTAGCTTCATCAACATTTAGTAACTCCTCAAAATATTCCCTCCATCTTCCTGATACCTCTAACTCTCCATTTAATAACTCTCCTCTCCTATTTTTAACTAACAAATCCATTCTTTCCCTAGGCTTTCTCAACTTATTAATCTCACCCCAAAACTTATTATTATTTTCAACAAAATTTGTTGATAACATCTCACCCACTCTCTCATTTTCTCTCTTTTTACATTGCTTCACCACTCTTTTAACCTCTCTTTATCTCTCCATATACTTCTCCCTCCTTGCATCACTTCTACTTTGTAAAAACCTCTCATATGCTAACTTTTTCTCTCTTACTACTCTCTTTACATCACCATTTCACTAATCATTCTTCTTTCCTCCTGCACTCACTTTCCTGTAACCACAAACTTCTGCTGAACACTAATAATATATTCTTAAACTTACCCCATATGTCTATATGTTCATATCTTACCGTAACTGCCTCCTCCTTTAGTTTATAAACCTTCACTTCTCTCTTACTTGCTGCTTCCATTTTCCTTGTATCCCATATACCTTTTACTCTCACTGTAGCTACAACTAAAAAGTTATCTGATATATCTGTGGCCCCTCTATAAACATGTACATCCTAAAGTCTACCCAACAGTCTTTCATCTTTCAAGATGTAGTCCAACAAACTGATGGCATTTCGCCCTACATCATATCTTGTATACTTATTTACCTCTTTTTCTTAAAATATGTGTTACCTATAACCAAACCCCTTTCTATACAAAGTTCAATAAAATGCTCCCCATTATCATTTACACCTGGCACCCCAAACTTACTTACCATGCCCTCTCTAAAGGCTTTTCCTACTTTAGCATTTAGGTCCCTTACCACTATTACTCTCTCACTTGGCTCAAAAGTTCCTATACACTAGCTTAACATCTCCCAAAATCTCTCTCTCCTCTACACTTCTCTCTTCTCCAGGTGCATACTTATTATGAACCACTTTTCACATTGATGGCTTTTTCAATACTAATACAGCTATTCAAAAAAGTATATACAGCAGAGGTCAGGTGATCTCCTTCCCCCCCACACAAAAAAAAAACCAGGTTGAAGTCATTTGGTGGAACTGAGTAGAGGG